AAGGTTTTTTTACACTGCTATAACTGTCACCAGTAACTACGTACTGTTACTAATCTAGTTCAGTAATCCCTTTTGGGTTTGAAGTAATATTGTAAAATATAAAGAATTAGATTGAACATCCTTTTAATGGTGCTGTACAACAAATGCTCCGTGCATTTAATGGTAATTACATAAAATGTAATTGCACTGTTTTCTACTTAAAGATTGGATAAAAAGGTGTTTATGGTTTATACAGGAACTATGTAAGGAATGAATAGTATATTAATCCCAAGCTCATCTTGTAGGCTGAAGCAGAAAATGTCACCTCATATCCCAAGTCTTGTGGCCAACACAATAGCTGAAGCACAGCTCGCAGTGTGCCTGTGAGGATACATGATGTCCAGGTGGATCAAATCTGTTTCAGGGGATGAACTGTCCTCTGAAAAAGCTGCCAGAGTCTGAGTGCATTCAAACTGGGACACCTGATAAGAAGTCTCACGGTGAGCACCAGTGTTATCGAGCTCTGTGCACTTAATGTCTGTTTTATCAGTTTTACCCTAAAGGTGGCCTCCTATGTGTAATGTGTTTACCCTGCAAGTGATAAGCTGTTGGCGCAGTCTTTAATATGTAAGTCTGCTGACACAGCCTCAGACAGGTTTATGGTTTTATCAGAACCCTATAGAGTGACAGATGGAAAAAATAAAATCTAATCAAATTTAGCCCCCTGTGTAGGAGGCAGAGAAAAGGCTGTCATCAGTACCACCTCATGATATGGAAACTGTTCTATATGTTAATTATATTTGGAGTAGGTGGTCTAAGACGCTTCTGCAGTCATGATCTTGAATCGTGATGCCACACTTTAAATACAGGCATGTCTCCTGTAAAGAACCACGCTGCAGTTTTGATTTGAACCCTGTGATTTGCACTCTGGAGATCATGGTAGATGGAGATGTTTTGTATAGTTTCATAGTATTCAAACACGTTCACAGGATTCAATCATTGTCAAATTGTATGTTAAAAATGCAAAATCTACAGAAAGTGAAATTGAATGTGATCTGATTGTTGGTTCGGTCATCTTATGATGCTACAGAGAGCTCAGTGACCGAAGAAAACTGCTTTTTAAATAAAAGAGATCGAGACAGCCTGGCCTGACTCGTCGTAAAATCAGAAAAACAAGCCTAAATTGAAAATCTGATCATAAAAATGTGACAAAATTGGATTCCTAATGTTGCTACCAAATCCAAAAAATCTCTGTTTTAATATGCTGATGGTACAGGATCGAGGTAACATTATAAGTGTGAATTCATCAGCCCATCTTTAAGTCAGAGACAAAGGTGAGCATCATTTGAATTGAGCAGCATACATTTAGTCTATAAAAAAATCCTGACCCACTAGAGGAAGTTCTCCCCTTTAATTGATCTTCAACAATTAAGGTTTGGCTTTTTTGACAATAAATTACAAAAAAGGGCTCGTTCCTGTCAAAGTGGGAACAGGTTTCTACATGTAGAATAAAAATGTAAAAGGTTAAATAAATTATTGTGTAAGTATTTATCCCCTTTAAAGTGACTCAACTAATTCAATGCAGCTTTATCCCATCGATTATTGGCCCCCAAAAGGAAAGTATAAGTCAGGGGATGGACGATGAAGATAATTTCGAAGTCCTTAAACATCTCTTGTATACTTAAATCTATCATTAAGAAATGGAAGGAATGTAGCACATGTGTAAATCTGCCTTGATCAACCTCAAACACTGAATCCCTGTGTAAGACATGACATGAGTAAGAGTTCTGCATTGGGAGGCCACCAAGACACCTACGAGGTGTGTCAGAGAAGTTCCAGGACTGGTGTCACAAAAGATATATCCACCCATTCATCCATCATCTATACATTGCTTCATCCTCACTAGGGTCATGGGGGGCTGGAGTCTAGCCCAGCTGACTCAGGGTGAAGGCAGGGAACATCCTGGACAGGTCATCAGTCTATCAAAAGGTAGATTTCAAACCCAAACTACAAACTACTTCAGATGATCAACCAGCACATGTACAAAGAAATCCTGCGGCGTTTGCTTCGTTCGGTGCACGAGAAGAGGCGAGAGTTGTGGCAGGACAAGTCGTCGCTGCTTCACCATGACGACTGCTCACGACGCCCTGAGCATCCAAAAGTTCCTGGCTGAGAAGAACATCTCTGTGCTGGAGCAACCTCCCTACTCACCCCACCTGGCTCTGTGGGATTTTTTCCTCTTCCCCAAGCTCAAGGGGGTCATCAAGGGGACCCGTTTTGAAGACGTGGATGACATCAAGATGGTTGTGACGACGGAGCTGTGGAGGATCCCGAAAGAATCGTTCCAGGAGTGCATGGCGGCGTGGCAGAGAAGGCTGAGGAACGGTGTTAGACTCCAGGGGGATTACTTTGAAGGGGAAAACCTGTAGTTTGTAGTTTGGATTTGAAATCTATCTTTTGTGACACCAGTCCTGAAACTTCACTGACACACCTCGTAGGACTTCTCTGAAGGAGCTACAAGCTTCAGAGGCTGAAATTGGAGAGACTTTGCATGCAGCAACAGTTGCTTGTTCTTCACCAGTCAAAGCTTTATGGGAGAGTTGCAAAGAGAAAGCCAAAGGTGGCCTTGAAAGCCGCTGTGTATTTTGTTTCAAATGTGTACTTCCAGCAGTATATGAATGACATTCTGTTCACCGCAAGATAAATGCAGGAACATGACATTGAGTTCAGTTTACTTTGAGCTTTCACTACAGTTTAAAACCCATTGCTGTGAATAAATGTGAGCTTTGCAGCAGAAAACACTGTCAGGGATATCTTACACCAAGCAACACATGCTGTATAATAGCTGATTTCTAAAACTGCTTGTTGAATGCATCCTTCAGACAACCTATCCACTGCATCGGTGGCAGTTTTCATACCTATAGGTATGAACAAGAATAGTTATTCCTGAATTGTGAAGTTTAGCAAGATAAAGCTACTGCGTCGGTCAGGCAGAAATATATCAACAGCTGTTTCATCCATTATCATCAATTCCCCGATTTTTTCCTCTTGCGTCAACATGTGGTTCACATTTGTGGTTTAAGTAAAATTATTGTTTAAGAGATTGTGATTAAATTTGCTAGACTTTTTGTCATCCATCAGCTAATGACAAAAAACATAAAACTATGAGCAACAGCTGTCTTTTGTACAAACTTATATATGTTGGCATTCTAACAAGATAAATTAAGATGCTCCAACAGAGCTGCTAGCATGGCTATACACTCTTAGTCTTGTTAGCTTTTTGGTCAGTTCCTTTCACAGACATGGCTCCATCAGTAATCCACTTCAATCGTTTCATTACTTGAACTGAATAACTCCTTTTTCTTTTCATATGCTTTGAAGGAAGAGCATGAATCCTGAGAATCTGAGCATTGTGGTACTAAAGCTAGAGTGGCATCTTTGGCATCATAAGAACTTAAACCTACCGAGACGTTACTGAATGACCTTGTCATAAAATGATGTGACTTTATAATGAAAAAGACAGTATTGTTGGCTTCCATCCGCTGAAAGACACACAGGAGGACGCGTCTGTTAATGAATTCCAGCCATGTTTAGATGAGTGAGTAGCTCTCGGTGTTACATAAAGGACCCGCTGAGGGTTTGATGAAGCCGGATGGCGAACAGTGAGTGACGTGGAGTCCAGGTAATGTTTCTCTCACCTCCACTGTTTGGCACAGTTTTGGTCCTGCTGAGATTTATATTAGCAATTAAAATTAAATTCTGGTCTTGTGGAGGAGTAACAGCTGTGTTAAAGGGGTTTATGTCACAAACCCTGACAACAACAAAAAAGAGAGATAAGTGATGAAAATGAGGCTATAAGCGAACAGGAGAAATTAAAAAGTGTCATATTAATTTAATTAGTACAGATAGTGCAGCAACAGATGAATTAGCTGCTGGTTTATCTTTGCACAAACATAGTCTAACGCTACTTCACTGCTAGAGGCAATACTCCCGTAGTGTAGCCTGGTTGTAGTTACAGAGGCAAACCATAGTCACGTGTCCATTTGACAGTTATTTTCAGCGTTACTTCAGAAAGCAACAGAAAATCGTTCTGAGCTCCTCATGCAAACAGTGGTCTTGTCTGTAAATCTGTGTGATAAAATGGGATCAGAGTCAGTCACCACATCAGCTGGGCACAGTTTATTTTATTTTCTTTTACTGCTGTTTTATATTGGAGTTCATTTGGAGTACATTTCTCCCTAATAGAAAAAAAAAAGACCTTCATGCAAAGTCATTGTAATAAAACCTTGAGAAAGTCAGAGCACAATAGAGCCGCTTAATTTGAACTTGTTGCACTCGATTGGTGGTTGAAGCAGCCTGCACACAGAAATGCAGAGTGGATGGAGGGATGCAGCATTACAAAGACCTGCTGCAAAAAAAAAAACAGGTGCATGTTAATTTTTCCTCCCTTTCCCCCTTCTCCCTTTGAAGCGAACTCTCAAAGACTGACTTCAGTCTTCCCTCCAGCCTTCGGTAAGAGTCCCTCCTACAATATGTAAATAGGACTCGACATAATGTACCATTTATTGATTTTTACCAAGTACTAGATTGTCCTTTAAATGTTTGACTACCCTATCACCAGCAAGAATTTGTTAATTGAGTTCATTTGCGTCAAAGAAAATTAAAAAATCGGCGCATTTAAGTTAACCTCACAGACCTCACATGAAAAAACACTGGCCATGTTTTTCTCCTTGAGTAATTATTCTGTTCAAATAGCATATATTTCTCTCCAGGCAGAGAGTGCTTGGACTGAATGGATGCTGCCACTGCATAATGGTCCTCAGACGTTTGTTTCCTAGGCAACGTGGGGAGGGCATGCGGAGAGGGAGGTATAAAAACACTGGCAGCTCCTCTGTGAGTCTTACTCTGAGGTAAATGCACTCCCTGTCAACACAGAGCGCCTCGGAGAACTTGCTACACACTTTCTCTCCCGATTTTGCCACCTTCTTTCTCGGCTCGGCTCCACAAGTGGCTGTTCAAGAATGATGCGGCCAAAAGATTTACGCCAGGGCTCCGGCACCAAGACTTTCCTGGACGCCATGCACGGCGGTAAAGTCCACCTGGCGCGCTTCATCCTGGACGCCTTGGATGGGCGCATTATCAACTCCAAGACGGAAAACAGCCGCACCCCACTCATGTACGCCGTCTGCCTGCAAGACCCCGGGACCAGGGCCAAGTTCACCCGGCTGCTGCTGGAGAAAGGGGCGGACGTCAACTGCCAGGACGAGGACGGTCGCACAGCCCTGAGCCACGCCTGTGAGCTGGGTCACCTGGATGTGGTCAAGCTTCTCGTGCAGTTCAACGCTGACCCGGATGTCTCTGATGCCTGGGGTAACAGCTCTCTCATGTATGCTGCGTTTTCTGGCCACAGCCAAGTTCTGGAGTTCCTGGTCAGGGCTTTTAAGAGACTGGGACTGAGGTTGGACAGGACCAATAATGCCGGTCACTCAGCCATCGAGGTGGCCAACTTCTTCGGGCACAACCAGTGTGTCCAGATTCTGAACTTTCCTTGCAGGAGGAGTGTTGGCACAGACGTTGATTCGGGTACCACTGTTGAAGGTGAGTGCCGCCTGCCCAACAGGCTCCCCCGGCACGTTCTGGAGAGGTTCTCCAAGCAGTTGAGTACCGAAGACCAGCTGCCGGGGGTATTTCAGAGACAGCTGAAGATTACAGACAGCAGTGGACTTTGGAATCGGTTCAAATGCCCTCGGAGCCAGTCTCAAGAGGACAACCATCGCCACAGTTGGGCTCTGCCTCCTCAGCTAGAGAAAAGCCAGACTGAAGGGGATCACAGCATTCTCTTCACTGCCAAACAACTGCAAAACTGCCAGCTTAGAGAGCTGAGGGGGGCTAAAACACTGAACTCTCTTCCCGAGCCAAGCCAGAAAGATGTCAGCCGAGACACGAGACTCCCAGAGCAAAAACCGGAGAGTTTTCCTCTCTGGGGAAAGGCAAAGTCATTTAACCTGGACCTTCTGAGCAGCAGAAAGCAGTCCTATCAGGGTGATGTGCGAGACATGAGCCTGTCAGCCAGCAAATTAAAGAGAGCTTCGCTACAGGATGAGAGATGCCTGATAGACAAGATGGAATGTCAAGGGAACACCCGGGGCCTGACAAACGATGCTGACAAAATTGTCTCAGTGCCAAAACCTCTTTTAAACGGCAAGAGTCAGCCGGTGAGAGCACTCGAAGAGAATGTCAAATTGCAGAATGAAGAGGCTAATGACATGGCTTCATCCGGCAGGAGAGAGCAGCAGAAGAGGGGAAGCTTCGGCCCGACCACCAGACACAGCAAACTACTTTTTGCCAGGGGGGAGATGGAGTCAGGGAAGCTCCCCAGCCGCACCCCCGGGTTCATGGGCCTGGGGACCAGACTGCTGCGTCGCTTCACCGCTCCAGAGTTCATGAGGATGGTGATAGACTGCTCGTCGGGCTCCTCGAACGGCAGAGGTCGGATGTCCCGCTCCGAAACCTTCCCCCTGTCACACACACACCAGCAGGTCAACAGCCAGCCGAGCGTCGACAGCATCAGCGGAGTGAAGTGTGAATTTGAAAGCTGCTCGTCTCAGTCCACGCTCAATTAGGATGAGGACAGTGTCAGACAACAGAAACGGATGGTAGTGCTGTTTTTAACAACACATGAAATCCTTACATTTAAATACTTGGCAATGTAGCCTATATAGGAGAGAAATAATCCTTTGCTTTTGTGCAGTTAATTAGTTTTTTCAATATTTATTGATTTAAAAAACAAGAAGTGTAAAGCTGTTCAGTTGCATAAAGCTGCATACAATTTTGCATCTCATATTGATAATGAAATTATTTATAAATTAATATAATATCAGTCTGTGAGCTACTGAAGTGAATATTTTCTTTCAGGTATATAAGATTTATATTACAAGGAATTCAATGTCTTTGATATCGCTTCTGTGTTTTTAAGAAAAAAATGTATTTTGCTTAAAGATATTCAGTGACTGTGCAATCATGCTAAATATCTAATAAATACTTTAAAACACACTGAGCCTGTATTTATGCGTGTGCACGTGGGGGGAGGGAAAAAGAATTAAATGAGTTCGATTCAGTATGCATCATTTATTGATTTATACAAAATTAAAATGTGTAATTCTCTTTTTCATGAATGATCCACACAGAAATAGAAATACATGAAACATGTCAACATGTATCCGTGTTAGAATACAAAGACTATGTGCAAAGTGTTTCTCAGCAGGCTGATGTCCTGCAGCATCACATGCCAGGCCTGTGTGCTTTATCTAGGCAAACAAATGCAAATACAGTCACACGCGCATCTTCCTCAGGAGCAACACACACACACACACACATCTTGTGATTTTTAAAAAGTCTGTCACATTACAAAGAGGGTTGTATCAGAAGCAAACACTGAGATGTCGCCTCACACACACACACATACACACACCCACCCATGCACTCACACACACACACACACACAACTATACACTCACATTTCAGTAAAGAAAAGTAACAGTTTAAACTCATTTCATATAATTTACTGCAGTGAATCAGCAGGTATAAGGACCTAATATTCAATATTTTTATTTACATTATTAATTTATCTGCTTATGTTTCAAGTCCATACTTAATAATGAAACCTTATTTGCAACTTCACATCATACAAACGACACACAACACCTTTTTTTTTTTTTTTGAAATAAAGAATAAATATGAAAAAGAGGAATATGGTACTGGTGAATTTCCAATAGCCCAATAGTAGCAGCTGGGCTTTCATCTACCCATTTATTATGCTAATAAAGGAGAATTGTCTTTCACATCCCAGTTTGGTACATATTCAAGCATTCACATCAGGCCAGGTGTGCCTCCGTTTGGCCATGCAAAGAGTGTGTATTGACCGGTTTGTTGTCCACTTTCCACAACAGAGTGTTGAGTGTGCAGAGGTAACTTTATCCTTGTTTAATAATGTCACAATGAGCTACTGTGGTTTTGAGCCTAACACCAGCTTTATAAGCTTTACAAAGCTGGCAATAATGCCCACTATGAACACTATACAGGAGTTTTAGAGTAGCATGTGTTCATTACATACAGTTTTGTGGAATTTGCAATCGGTTTGATATGCACCATGTTGTGCTGTGTTGAATCCCTCTGAATGTTACAGGAAGCCAATCAATATTCAGATCGAACCGAGTTGAGAGGTGAGGAAATGCATGCTGCCTTTAACTCACTCCTAAAGTGCTTCTCTCATGCCCGAGACCATGCGGTGTCTGTCAACCAACCAAAATTGCGTCTTAGCCACCATCACTCTGGCAGCAAAATGCCGTCTGCGTCTGCTTCTCTGGAGCTGATAGCCCCATTGGCTTGGGTGCTAGAGGAGTTGGACCTCGGTGCTGGTCCTCCTTCCGAGGCCCGGACAGGTCAGACTTGAAGCTGGGTGTTGGGAGACCGGGAGCCCCATTGGGTCAGCAGCGGGACATGCGTTTGCGGTACTGCTCCACCAGCGGGACCAGGCACTGAGGTGAGCCGCTCTGCAGCAGGAAGGGGTGCTCCAGCAGGTCGGTGGCGCTGGCCCGTTCTAGGGGATCCCGAGTAAGCATACGGTCCAGGAAGTCTTTAAGAACTGGAGAGATCTGCACCAGAGAGCAATAAGTACAGTGTACAATATATTTTAACTCCAACGAATCATTCCAGTTGTTATTTAATGCATTCATATGACATTTTGAAAAGAAAAACATCTCAGTCGTCAGCTCATAGGTTAACATTTATTTATGTGTTATTCATCTATTCACAATCAGATACGTGCATTTTGTTCAATTATGAGATACACAATGCGGATGTATTTTTAGGTCAAAGCTGAACCACATGTGTGTTACGTAAGTAGAGTCAAAAATAGAGACTTCAGCTTCTTATGAGAAATGGGCTTAAAGTGTGAAGAAGCTCCTTTGTCAAGTGGAATTTAGATTTTCTGATACTGTCAAAACAAATCCATAGGTTAAAAAGAGTGTTGTGTTCACTGCAATACTATAAATAACTACACTATAATTTCTTGTATTTCTCTTTATCAGAGTGATAATAATAAACAATTTCTGACAAGCAAAGTGTTTCTTTTGTTTTTAAAGTCATAAAAATCATAGTGTTTTTTTTTTTTTCCCTCCAGTAGTTGCTGAGATATTTCAATCTGGATCAAAACAGTGAACCAACTGCCTGACAGACCAAAAACCATGTTGTTAAATTTGCTACACTATCTTTGAAGCACGCTGTAAGTGTGCGTGAGTCTGCTCTCGTACCTGGTTGACATTTCGTACAGTGGGAGCTGGCTCATCTCTCAGCCTCTTCATCGCTGCTACAGGGGTTTCACTGAAGTACGGGGGCTCTCCATCCACCATCTCTACCACCATGATGCCCATCGACCACACGTCGACCTGGCACACAGTGACACAGAGGGGGAAAAAAAAATTGTGTAACAGATCTCATAGCACAGATTGCCACTGTTGGCTCTCATGCTGCCTGACAGAGATCACCACAGTTATTCAGTGGGAGCAACAGTTGAATTTGTGCCTCCACACCTCAGTGCCATATGGTGATTTGGAGATGACCTCGGGAGCCATCCAATAAGGTGTCCCCACGAGGGACTTCCTCTTAGGGATGTCCTTACTGATCTGAGCGCAGAAGCCAAAGTCTGAAAGCTTGACCTGTTTGGGGAATAAAAACAAAAAAAACTTTACTATCAAGATGTCAAACAAAACAAGAAGCAACGAAAGAACAGCAACACATCGTACCCTTCCGTCTAATGTGAGCAATATGGAGTCACTCTTGATGTCTCTGTGGATGACTCCCTGTGAATGGAGATAGGCCAGGGCTTGCAGAACAGCTTCACACACTGTGGCAATCTGCTCTTCGCTCAGCCTGCGGGGCACACAAGTTTGCACACATGTAGTCAGATTTTACATTTTAAGTTTTCAATTAGTAGTTGCAGCAAATCAGCAGCTCCGCAAGTTGAAATTCACGAATCACTGCACATTACAGGTCACGATAAAGAGCGCAAGGTCCAAAACAGCTGCTTCGAATGACGAGCAAAACGTGTTCATTCCTCTGCAGTGGTAATGGGACTTTGATATTTCACAGGTGCGACGCATACGTATTAGAGACAGGAGATAAAAAGCCACTTTCGAGCAGCATGAAAGGTCAGGTGCCCACCGCAAAGCAAGGTAACACAAGGTAACAATTACTGCACAGTGCTGTTTTCTCCCACACATGACTACCACCTGAAACCGTGTTAAATAAAATGCACTCATACATTTAGACAGATTTATTAATTTAGAGAAACTGTAATGAGTCAGAAAAAAGTACTTGACACCAGACAGCAGCCAGGAAAAACAGAAGAAAGTGAAGCCTCTCGTTCTTGATTGTTCTATCAATACACAGATTATTTTAGTCTTTGACAAGCAGTGGCTGTGACAGCTGGCTCATTTTATATGTCATCTGGCTTGAGAGAAATTTTTTCATCCCTTAGAGTCAAGTGATCTAACCCTGAGGTCACCCTATGGAGATCGAGCCAGCCATCTGTTAATAATATAAAACACATTGACAGCTCCAAACAAATACACCCTGACTAAACTCAACTCCCTGCTGCTGGTCAATATGTTTTCCTCATTTTTGATATATGCACTACAGAGCATTGTGACAGCACTGGGGAATCAAATTTCCACCCAAAATTGACATTCCACATGGCATGTAAACACGCACAAATTCAATTACCTTATTGAATTTTTATTTTTCCCAAGAGAAAAGCAGCGGATGTGCTGTGCAAGAGAAGAGTCAATGACAATCTCTGTGCTGCTTGGATCAACACTGATCATTCACCGGTTAATACCACACTACCCCCTTGTGGTTGATTTGGTTATTAAAAATGATATGACAACTAGTTGGAATGCACCAAGTGCAGCTGTTTAAGAGGGATTATGCCGTTTTCTCCCGTTCGTACCTGGTTTCAGACACGATGTTGGTTAGTGCTCCACCCTGCAGGTACTCCATGATGACCCACAGCTCCTCCTCCACCAAGGCAGACTTAAACATCTCCACCACGTTCCTATGCTGGTAGTCCCTCATTATGACCACCTGCAGGACAAAACATTCATGTTAGTACCATAATCTCTGGAGATGCAAAGAACAATGTGGAACAATGCTGGTTCTGTAGCATTAAAGGTGCAGAACCTCCTTTAGTCCCTAGTGTGGGTCGATGTCAACAGCAAACATAAGTCAAGATTACTCTGATGACGTCATTAGAGTTATTTTCTCATACTTTGGAAAGCATTTCCAAAGCCATTAAAGACATTATTTGTTTTTAGGTTCAGTAGTTAAAGGCTAAACTTTGCTTGCATTTGTCTGTAGGGACATTTTTCGTACCTCATTGAAGAGCAGCTCTCTCCTCTGCTGCCGCCGCAGGTCCATCATCTTCACCGCCACTTGCCTTCCGCTGTGCTTCTCTGTGGCGATACACACCACCCCGGTTGAGCCCTCTCCGATCTTCACAAAGTTCTCCAGGTAAGACCGTGGATCGCCCTTGTCTACCACCATCTGCAGGGCCGCCTTAAACTGTTCATGTGTCACCTTGGGTGGGTCGGGAGGCGGTCTGGGTGAAGGATGCTGCGGGGGTCTGAAGGCAGGGGAGCAGGTACCTGGAGGACTGGTGGCTAGTGAGCCTGTAGGGGAAGGTCGCGGTTGGGAAGGGCTGTCCTGCCGAGGGTAAGGAGGGTTGGGGCACCCAGAGTGTCTGAGAAAGGGGTCTGGTCCGCTGGGTCTCAGTCCCATGTTAGGGGACAAGCCCAGGGTGTAGCTAGCTGAAGATCGCACAGTCCGCTGGGGTCTGATGCCTCCCACAAGAGGACTGCTGGTGCCAGTGGGCAGGAAACCAGAGTGGTACCTCACTGCCGACTCTGCCTGCAAGACAGAATAGAGGAAGGGTGAGGTAAATCAGGAGAGAGAGCTGAAGGGAAGTTGGCCTCCTGCCTGAGGTTCATGACCCACTTTAAAATTGAATGTAAATCAAGTCCTTCGCTTTCACTCTGCATCCACTTCACCTAATATGACCGATGTAAAGATGTTGCTGTGTGGCCCCAAGTGTCCCACTGAGATCTTGGCAAACACACTTTCTTTCACCATTTACAATCCCGCAGGCACTTTAAACCCACAATTCATTTTTTTTAACACTAGAATTAAATAAAACGCTCAAACCCAGAGCTTTAATCACCTTTAGTGTAAAGCCAATCAATAAGCCGCTTCGCTTTAGTTGCACAACCTAAGCATTAAAATGATGATTTCTTGAAAAAAAAAAAACTATTTTTAATGCATTCAGAGCTCATGCAAAAAACATGCTGAGTACTCATAATATGATGTACATAGCATTAACTGAAATATGCATATATTGTGTATTCTATGAATAATGTATTATCAGTGGACTTAATTGCTGCAAAGACGAAGCTTACTTTCAGGTCATAGGAGGAGAACGGCCTCCCTGGGCTGTTCTGTGGGTGCATGTACATCGGTAGATTGGGCCGGAGCTCCGTGGTGACCGTTCCTTGATCTCCGTGGGGCTGCTGTACAGTCATAGCTGGGCTGTAGAAACAAGCTACAGGTCTCTGATTAGGCGGCATTCCTCTGGGAAGCTGGAAATCTCTCTTCCATATGACTCTTTCCTGAGGACTGCCCACCTCTCCACTCATATAAGCCCCGTGACTTGGCATCTGGATGTTCTGGGACTGAGCAGGGAGCGAGGGTCCCTCCATGGAGCTGACGCCAACTTCGTAGGTGGACTTGGCCTTTGGCAAGATCCCGTTAGGCTGCAGAGTGATGCTCTTCTTCATGCCTAAGTACGGGGTGTTGGTCTCGCTGTGGATGTTCCTGGCCCTGTCCCTCCACGGATCCTGACCCGCGTCCTCCTCGTCATCATCGTCCTGGGTCAGGCCCTCGTACTGGTACGTGTCCCCCTCGTTCACCTCCCCCAGCCTCCCCAGAGACTGAGCCCTCTTCCTGGCAGAGGGGCTGCTCTTCCGCAAAGAGTTGGAACTGGTCACAGACAGGCGGCTCATATCGTTGATCATGGCTGCGATGTAGTCTCCGTGACCGATCATGCTCCCACGCACAATGGTCTGAAAAGGGGACAGGCGTTTATCTTTATCACACTCTGCATGGCATGATTACATTATAGAAAGATTCCGGACTGAAAGGAATAATGAGGGTGACATAATCATTGCTCAGAGGCGAGTTAAATTTAGACTTGGGAATCTGTAAAGGACATCTTTGTCATTCTTCAAAGACAGCAACTTTAAATCATTTTCCCAGTGGCTTCTTCTGACATTACACTGACAAATATTCCGAGCAAATCTTTCAAGAGGAACACTGTAAAGACAGAGCCTCCACAACTGCTCCTATGTTTTCAGAAATTACACATAACTGCTTATAAGACTTTTGAAGTGGTACGCATAGTTGGCAGGCAGGCAAAGAGTCTAAACTTGCCCTGACATAAAGTGATCATACGAACTTTAGACGAACTTTAGATGTTTTTGCCGGAACAGTGTTCACGTAGGAGTGAGTGCATGGCTGCTTATTAGTCAGTCTCGGGGTAGAGTCACGCTCAGTTCACAGTCAGCCAGCAGCCTCTCCTGTTTCTCTGGCTCGGGGCCATTACATCTGCACAGGGGGTAGAGGTCAGATGACACCTCACCTACTGTAGCACCTCTCTGAAAGGAGACAATGACAGGTGATAATGGCCTTGGGAAGACATTGTATTTTAGAAGATGCTGTGTAATTACCTATATTACCCTTAAATTTGATCAAATTTGCTGCCTTTTGCGCTTAAATCAAGACATAATCTAAACAGTGCTTTGTTCTTTAACGCAGAACTTCTACTGATTGTGCAATTAAAACTATAATTCTGACCTAAATGCTGACACGATGATTCTCATATTGCACTAATCACATCATGGAGTTAATGAAATGTTGATGTTGTCTCTATTATTTTTTTCCTGAAGAGCCAGAAAAAGCATCGACAGTATGCCCTACGAAGCGTAGAAATACTGAGATTTGCAGGCTTTATCACTCACTGGCATTTCCTTTGCTGTACCTGCAGTTTTTATTCCTTCTGCTTGACATCTGTGGGAAGGTACCATGGACTGTTATTAATTGCCTGCATGGGGTAATAAATCTTGTGGCCCCTGTGAGTATTCAACATTGTACAGTCAGTGTACACAGCAGGGTCATTAGCTGAGCCCCATGATAGATAAGAAAGCAAAAAGATGGGGAGGGGAGCGAGCTTTCCACATTGTCATCGGAGGATTATGGCATTTTCTGAGACAGCAGAATCCCTCTGCAGCACTGGAAAAATACTTCTGCACTGATAAAACTATCAGCATATCTTTACGCATTAGCCCCCCGAGATTGAAGCTAAACTGCGGCGTGCCATTTGTGAGCGGTCAGAGAATCAATGAAGAGTTAAATGGACGGTGCAGGATACCTTCTTTGGCCTCAGCTCCACCTCTGTGATCCTGGAAGGGTCCACCATGGGTTTGGGCCTTCGCAGGTTCTCTATCAGGCTCTGCCATTGGGTCGGCAGGCCTATGAAGCAGCCGCGCTTGGCGTCAAACGAGGTGTGGACACGGTGCTCAAAGTTCTTGGGCGCTGATATCTCAGGCCTCTTCTTTTTCTTCTTGCGAAACATCCTCAGGTCCGGAAGGGCGACAGCCTGCCTGCTTCAAAATGTCCCTGTAGAGAAAACAAACGTCGCTCAACATTTCATAGCGCATGTTAAAGTAACTGTAATCGTTGATGTTTGAATGTAAGCAAATCTCTTCTGCCACCACGATTAAAAACATAGGGTAGAAAAACATGCTCTCTTCTCTCTGACCAGGTGTAGTCAAATAAAATCTGCCGACAGATTATGCTTCCACACGGGAGAAAGTATTGAAATAGCTCATCTGAAAGCTCTGTTGTGTCTGGGATGTGGAGGTCCCATGTTGCCTTGCTGGCTGTCACGAGCTTGTGCCGCTGAGAACAGCTCCAAGGAGAGCGCATGGATTTGTAAGCACATGTGTAATGAAGGATATCTGGTCAATTAAGGCTTATTCATTCACTGTGCCCTTTTGCTGATGAGCACGTGGCCGAGCTGGCCAGCGCCCACAGGCTTTCAGTGCATTAGCAGGACAAGTACAACGCACACAAACACACATTCATAAGCACACATCCATACAACCACAGATATATCGAGGTAGGCTATCCATCATAACTCCTCTATAACCCCCTCTATATCCCATCCTAATTAGTAGTTTGTGTGCCTTTGATTGCAGGGAGGGCAACCTCTTAATCTCTGGATGGATGGTCCTGCATTTGGTGAGCCGCTGACTTGGGTTGACTGTATGTTCAGCTGTATTTTCCATTCAAGTGGAGGGAAATAATTAAATACATTACATTTCATTTCCTCCGCTGCACAGCTGTACTGGGAGATAATCACTCACATTTAAGTCTCATGATTAGTATTAATACTGTTTTATGTAGCTCACAGAGCGGAGGACGTCCTAGCCAGCCACGCAAGCGGATGCTGATGCTGGTCTGTTGGTTTGTCTGCTACTTCTGGTCCAGACTGAAATATCTTGATAAGTGTTGCCATGAAAATGTGTCCAGACGATCGTGGTCCATCGTGGACAATCAGATGAAGACTCCTGCTGGTTTTGATCATCTCCTAGCTGTTCCTCCAGTTACACCTTTAATTCTTCACCCAGCGAGATAAGGTCACATTTCAACTTTAGTTTCGGACCAAATGCCTGCAAAACTAATCATGCTCTCGGATTGCTGCTTTTGTTCAGTTTTCCAAGTTATAATTTAGCACAGATACAAATTTCTAGGTGTTTCAGCTCGGCCTTATGTATGGGAAAAGTATCATTCAGTTTCACGACTGATTTTTTAAAAACTCTGAGAACCCCAAAACCCTCTGGCAGGATTTAAAGGTATGTTATCTTTTTTTTTTAAATTGTCAAAGTGACACCATTTATGAGAGCCACAGTCTGTAAAAACACAAGAATCATCAGATTTTCAACTTTCTGACAGTCCTCGAACTAATCATGTATGTGGTTTTAAAGGAACATTTGTAAAAATCTAAGCGTAATATTGTGATATTTCATCTAAATTATTTCATTATATTATATGTCTCATTTAAAAAATTGCTCCCAAAACAAACCATTTGCACCAGATCCTGTGAAAATCTGCAAAGTCATGACTGCCTGAGTCGTGACCAGCAGTCAAATGATAAAAATTCATAAAGTTTCCAGCTGAACTGCAGGATGGGTTTACAAAGAGCAGCTATGAGACGACAAGATATTAATAAATATTGCAAAACTTGATCAATAAAACAAATGCAGCATCGTTTACAGAGGAGCGAGCTGTCAGCAGGTTGTTAGAAGACACATTCAGCACGGTGAAATATCCTCCTGGAGCTGAAGTGCAGAGTAGCGTGAAAAAGGCCTTATTTGTAGAACTTGGAAAAAATGTAAGTTGTAAAATAGCTGTGCATGCATTATTAATCGTGTAACGCTGCACAGGAGACTTTTTTGAGTGCTCTCTGCTTCTGGCCATGGCTGTGCTGTTTCTATAGACGCACAGGACTTTTCATTAGAGTAAAAAAATGAGAAGAAAAATGCACCAAGAGTGGAAAAAATAATAATACTCAGGGTTCAGAGGGACCAGCAGGTGCATCGTGTGGCTACCTGGCCACACTAACAAGCTAAACTAAGGCGGTGAACGTGGTAATCATTATACCTGCCTAAGATGCTCACATTATCATTTTGAGCTCAAGTAGACCCTCATTGAACTCCTCTTCATTTTAGCAGAATGTGGCCGGTGCAGAGGCCTACAAGGTGCCCCCGTGAGTACGAGATACGATCTCCCATCATGCACTGTGAAATGGTGGGAGCTGAGGAAATGAGTTTTGCAGCCCCTCCGCAACCCAGCAGGCGATCACGCTGGCAGCCTTTCCTCTCTCCACCTACGCCCTCAGACCAGCACGGCTCTAATCGGCATCAGCGACGCCCGTTATGAGATGTATCGGTGACTAACCCACGCCTCTCACCCCACGCCGCATCACCGGAGGGTGGAAGGAGGTCAGGCCCACTGGTCACATCAGCTAAACCCGCCTCATTACAAGAAGGCTGGGTAGAAGAGAGGGGCGGTGGAGGGGGGGAAAGGAAAAACTGCTTGGAGAGATGTGTCACCCTCCAAGGATAATTCAATCACAAGGCTAATATGCTAAGTGTTGCATAAACGCATCACTCTGTGCTCTCCCTATGTACATAATGTGGCGCTGGGAAGGACTTTAATTCTATCTGACAGGGACATTATGGTGTGAGGGCTCTCAGGAGGTGGGGAGAGAGGAGCTGGGGCCGAGATTACAGTCAGATCTGGATGTATTAGAGAGACAGGGACCCAGTTTCCTTCCTGCAGACACAGAAAGGCTTTTAACCACCAATCATGGCTCTTTTTGGAATAACAAATGCCTCAGAATAATAAGCTCACAAGATTGTGATCGCTGTTGTTGTTGTTTTTTTTTTTTCCCTTTCCTTTTCCTGCCGCATGAGAAGCTATCTGCTTAGATAGCTGTTCAACGTGCAGATGTTGGCGTCGCCTGAACAAATATTTACACATTTTACGCTCATGTATTCTTTTACAAGCAGATCAATCAATATTTACTCATGGGTGAAATGCAAACTGCTACAATCCTCCGCCGCAAGCAATAATGGGGGGCGATACCAGCGCAAATAGGACAGCTGGTTTTTATGGTACTTCATCAAGTTTCATCACTTCAAAGCAGCGGAGAACAGAACATATCAGGGTATGCATTATTCATTCTTGACCACTGTTCCCCCTTCTGAAGACTGGAAATACAAACTAGCCACTGTGATATTAAAGACTAGCAGAAACACACATGCCTGGGCGAAACGGATTAAAAAGTTGATGCACTTATTCATTTAATCACATGCAACTGGCCTTACGTTGACCTCTGTGACTCCACCAAGCTTTACGACTGTCTTGATAACAACACGCCATCGATTTACGAGCCCCTTCTATATGCACAGAGAAGAACTCACACAGAGCGCGATCTTGCTTTCTGGTCACATCCCTCAAAACTGCAGGGACTTGACCCTATGCCTCAGTGGCTTGTCTTGAATCTATCAAAGTGCTGAGGCAAAAACTCAGCCAGCTGCTGTCAGGGGGTATGAAGAGCCAAAGAGGATGAGGTCACTCTAAAAAATTGTGCTACATTAGGTATTTCCATCTCTACAACTTTGTGCGGGAGCAACAAAATTAAATAGATCCAAATGCATGACCTAAAAACTCACAAATCCTGTCATTGAGAAATAAAATCTGACACACAGGAAACCAGCGGGGGGAGAAAAAAAAAAGCTGTTTGCAATATGTGTTTGTGAAGTTTGACTAAACATAAATCATAGAAAAAAAAAAGATGATGAGGCATGCAAATGGTGAAAAACATTGCGAATAGACCGTATTTCTTTGCGGAAAGTCACCGCTTAATCCCATCCCAATCCAGGCTCAAATGAATATCCAATCAAAGCCTTACCCCCCGACTGGATGGAGCTTCTTCACCTGGCAGAGCGGCTTGGCCTCTCATGCCATGCAGAAATGCAACCGGGCAATCCATATGTTTCCCGCAGACAACATGACAGAAGAGGAGAGGCCATGCTCGCCTTCCTCTCATGTTCGAATCACCCCGAGCAGGAGTTGTGGTTGAGTGGGAGGGGATCGAGAGATAAGAGAGATATTGGATTTGCTCGATGTTAGTGCTCCCAGCTCTGTTGAATGATTTTTTTTTTCTCTTTTTTTTTTTTTTCTATTTGCCCTGATTTCTGCTTCTATCTTTTTGTTGGCGTGCATGCAGAAATGTAGTGAGTGTGCAGGTGACTGTGCTCGCAGGATTAGTATGGTGTTCAGTCCTTCACTGATCTAATTTTAGGACACATCATTTCTCTCTCCCGTCTCGCACCAGACGCGTGTTTATTTTGCACAGGATTCATGTCAAATGATGAGGTGAGGGTGGGAGACGATGGCGAGATGAGGTAATCCTCTTTTTGTGTTTGTCAATGCATGTATAAGCATAATCCTGCTACGCTGAATTACAGGGGGGGGGGGCTACATCTATTTTATAGCGGCGTAGATAGCATCAAGGTCTTAACTGCTGTTTTTGGACTCTGCAGTGCAGCGTGGAGGGCTTAGAGATTGCTCTTCTATCAGCTTCATTATGATGACCGTTTTGCCCTTTGAGTGTAATGAGACTGCCTCTCAAGGAGGGGGCTGGAAAGAAGTGGGGGTGGAGGGAGTCTTGGTTGGTCATCTCTTCCTTGTGCTTTGTAAAACACACATACACGCACCATCTGAGGGCACGAATAAAGGTACAAGGCGCTGGACGTGACTGGACAGTACAATCGCGGTGTTTATGATTTAAGTTGATGTCTGCTTTCTCTTTGAAGTCACCTCTGCAAAACATGGAAGGATTGCCAATAGGAGATGACATGTGATGTAATAAGCCGCATCCAGCGACATGGAATAGCATGATGCTGCCATGCATATTTCATGCAAGTGGTCTGATACAGCATGCACGACAAAGCACTCGGAACGAAGGGAAAGTTGGAGAACGGCACGCATCTTCTACTTCTC